TATCAAGATGTCTTTTTGATTGACTTATCTAGTGGCCCGCCACCTGATGGATGTGCCTTCTTCCAAATAGAATTATTGCATAGAATCAAATCAACAAGTCGGCCAATTTATTGCCTAGTACCAAATAAATTTAAAGAGTTGCAAAAGATATTGGATGAACTCTTAAAGGATATGCCGGCTATAAGATAGTCATTGATGAAAAAAAAATTATCATCAATGATCTACAAGAATTACTATGCCGGCTATAAGATAGTCACTTTTATTGCAAGCAAATAAAGTGTGAACTATGGAAGTTAGATGTTACATTTTTGAGACATGTTGTGCACTCCAAAGGCATGTATATGGAGTATGATAAGGTGAAAGTAATAGAGGATTAGCCAACCTTCAAAGATGCTTTTGAAGTCCGGTCATTCTTAGGTCTTGCTGGATATTATCGCCGTTTTGTTCGCCAATTTGCACACATTACTACTTTAGTGAGAAGCTTATTAAAGAAGGGTGGCTCATTTAAATGGAAATTGGAGTAAAAAATAGCCTTTGATAAGTTGAAAGAGTCACTCATTACTACTCCAATATTGCAATTATAAAATCTCAATCTTCCTTGTATACTTGACATTGATGCTTCTGACTTTATTATTAATACAATCCTTCAATAAGACTTTAGTAGTGGCCTTCAATATGTAGCACGGGCAAAGCAAAATTACTTTGTATGTAATTGAAAACAACTAATAATTGTATATGCCACAAAGTTGTGGCAATGCAATTTATTAGAGAAGCCAATGACTATTTGGAGTAACCATCAATTTGTACTATACAATTTGCATTTAAAAAATATGAAATCACAACATTATTCTTGGAAAGAATAATTGTAGCTCTTTGACATTCAGCTTGAATATAAGTAAGGATGAAAACACATTGTGCTAGATACCTTATTGAATAGACCAAATTTAGAATTCAAATCAAAAGATAAGCCAAAAATTGCTACTATTAATAACATCATTTCAAACATAATCAAAGAAGCGGAATGGAAGGAAGCTATGCATTGGAATATTTATTTTAAGATGATTATCAATGGATTGAAGGTAGATGATGTATAATATCAAGATTATCGTCTTAGTGATGGCTTATTTTATTTTAAGAAATAAATTTATATAATTGATGATGCTATATTCTAGACATACATACTTTAAAAGTGACATGACATTCCAATATCTAGACATTTAAGATGTAAAAAGATTCTAAAAACAATCTCAAAGACATGATTTTAGATAGGTTTAGATTATGATGTTTCAACTTTTGTATATTCTTATAAGTCTTGTCAACCTAACAAAGCATGAAATTAGCATTTCTTAGATTATTGCAGCCAATTATACTATATATAGCACATTTGGAGTATGTCACTATGAATCTCATTATATGTTTGTTGCACATGCCTTACAATCACATTGTAGTTGATGTCTTTGTAGATGGACTCTTGAAGCAACTTCACTTGGCTATAATGCCCTTTGATATTAATGTCCTAATACTTATATAGATCTTCTTTGATACTATCTTTTGTTACCATAGATTACCTCATGTCATTATTTTAGATCAGGATCCATGCTTCACAAGAAGCTTCTAGCAAACTTTCTTCAAGCTATTGGATATACAGCTTGTCATGTCTATAGCCTCCCATCTCTAAACAAATGGACAAACAAAGCTTGCAAATTGGACCTTGGAAAATATGCTATGGGCATTTATAGTAATTCATCATAATGACTAAGATGAATATTTGAAACCTTTGGAATTTATTTACAATGATAGTATTTAAGTAAGTATTAGTCATTCACCATTCTTCTTTAATATTAGTCAATATTTAATTATGCCAGTAATTCTTTATTGCCCTATTAATACCAACAACCTGACAATAGAAGAATTTACACAATGGCTTATAACAACTTAGAAGAAGTACGGCACCACTTCTTTACCACATATAATCGATAGAAGTAATATGTTCATAACCACTGGTAACATAAGACCTTCCAAAAGGATGATGAGGTGTTACTTTCCAATGCCAACTTTCTACTTGCTACATCAATTCAAATTCGTAAGTTGATACCTTGATGGCTTGGACATTTTTGCATTTTTGTAGTAAAATCTAATATTTTATACTACCTTGAGCTTCTATCATATATTTGGATCCATTTGGTCTTCTATGTTTTGCAACTTAAAGAATTTCATACTAAACTAAGGTATTTTTTTGACCAATACCAACCACCACCACTACCACCAATTGTGATTGATGACCAACAAGGATATGAAATAGACAACATTTTGGAGCATTGCTACCTTTGCTATGGCAATGAATGTCCACAATTTTAATACAAAGCCTGTTGGAAAGGTTATCTCATACACAATGCAATATAGAAACCTACACAAAACCTCACCTATTGTCAAGAAACAATTTGGAAATACCATTAGGAGTAAAATGGAGACATTCTATACTAATCAAAGGGGACTAACTATAATGAGATTTAGATAATATATTTGTATTATTGATGCCTAAAGATAGATAATTAGAGCCATATTTGAAAAGTTTCTAAAATAGAGACTAACTTGGTGGTATATGTGGAACTCATTATGGAACATTTTAGAAAGTACATGGTGGCTTTTTAGATGGGATCCATCGTTAAGAACTTTCTAAAAAGTTCTAAGATGGTTGGACAAAGTATAAATAGAACTAGCTAAGACCATTTGGATATGTAGTTAGATATAGCTTTAGTTCCTTTTTCTTAATAAACTTTGGTTTTGTATTTTTTTGTTCAATTTTGTTCTATTCTTTGTTGCTCTATTATACCTTTCATATTCCACTCTGTTTAGATTTGTTCAGTTTTGTTATGGTCTATGGTATCCTACATTGTGATGAGTTTTATATTGCTATGGATTGGAAGGATCTTAGATCTTAGAGACAGTTCAGTTGTGTTTTATATATACTCACTATGAAGCATACTACAAAATCTAAGACCTATGATGAAAAAATTAAGCAAAAAAGATAGCAAGAAATAATTAAGCAAGAAAAAAAATTGATTTGAAAGAACAAGACTTGGAGACTAATTGACTTATTAAAAGAAAAAAGTCCAATCATGCACTATAGAACAAAACATATAAAAAGATCTTAGGATACATCAAGGATATTATGGAATATAGCAATCTTCTATCCCATTGATAATCAAAGAGATCTACTTATATTTATTGATGCAGATTGGACAAAAGTCATCAACTCACAAAAACCCACATTGGAAATTATGTACAAGTTTGAATCTTCTCCAATTTTGTAGTCAAGCAAGCTTCAATTAACCATAATACTTTCTTCCATAGATGCAAAGTACTACATCTTAGAAATTACTTGCAACATCACATATTTTTGAAAATTACTTAATGAGCTAAAAATGGATGACAAAGACCCAACATTGTTGTTGTGTGATAACATGAGCAGCATTCAACTTGTTAGAAACCCAGTCATGCATCAAAGAACAAAACATATAGAGTTGGACCACCATTTATATCTGGAAAAAACAACAGAATGACACTATCAATGTAACTTACATATCCACTTACAATCAACAAGCAGACATGTTCACAAAGCCATTGGGGCTTGTCAATTTTATCTAGTTCATAGTCTAGACCGATTGTATCAAAAAGGCCGCGTCTATGGTTGACGAGCTTTCCGAGCATTCAGGATTGACGAAAACAATGGCACTGCGATGGAGGGGGTGACAGCCGATCGTCGCAAGTTGTCTCAGTACAGGCGGTGGAAGAGCATCAACCATCATGTTGTTCACGAATCGCCTCTTCCCATGAGAAGATCGGTGGTTCAAGCCCAGGTTTGCAAGTGTTGGGGTGTAACGTGGTGGTCTCTCTCTAACGTTCAAGGTTGAATGCTTAATTTAAGTTCTTCTAGATCTAATTCCTTCCAGTAGTCCTCTGGAGGAAGATAGAGGAAGAATGTTTGAGGCATTCAAACTCCCGTTTCTTGTTTCCAATGTGTCGAAAAGTTCCCACATACGTCGTTGCGTAAATAATCAAAAGTTTCGGCATCAAGCGATGAAATATTCCGGGTCGAAGTGACCACTTATCTACGTGACGGTTTCGTCACAAATACAAGACGAGCACATGCTTTACGCTCGCTTGAACTGAATTAAAGACATGTTTTCATCATGCTGAATAGGGCATGGATAGGGCATGCGCAGATGTGCATTCATCGTTCATAGAAACATCCCTGTGGAGTAGGTCTGATAGTTGCAGAACTTGAAGAAGCAGGTCCTCATCTCTCTACCAGAATGACAGTTTGAGACGTTCTCAAAGCTTCCCGAGGAAGTGATTTGACACGCTCTGCATGTTGTCAAGGAAACCCTCCAAGAGAAGTTGAGAAGCACCAATAGCGGCGTGGCTGCCATTGGAATTGGAGAGCCCTGTCCAATCTTTGACCCTAACTTACCCGACGTGTATATCGACGCATCGGTGCGCGAGAGAGATAAGCATCAAACCAAGGTGGAATTGGACGTTGAAACACTTACCGCAGAGATCTGTCAGCATGATAAGAGCTGACGGGCAGGAATTGCAATGGGCTATGAAAGTCCACCTACCATGCAGAGTTGAACGTAACTGGATGGTAGCTTTTCTGTTCAGCTCCAGCCATGCTCGCTTGATTAAATGCTTGTGTCCTGGCAGTATAGGTGAAACTGTCCTAAAATTAGTGTTATGTTCGAGCTTAACATCCAGATATCTCCTCGCGAGGAATAAAAATGACTCGAGTTTGGAATGCAGCGCTAGTTCGTCAAGGTGCTTAGCGCCTCGCAATCAGAAGGAACTACTGATTCAATTGCAAGACAATTACCCATACTTTTCTCTGTAAACTAAAACCTAGAGTAAAAAACTGACAGGACGCAACTACGCGACATAGTTCTGCTTGCAATGGTCCTCTTGAGGTTTAACTCCTATGTATTCTCCCAACAAGTCTCCCGTTGACTAAGGCTTTGTAGTGCATCACTACATACATTATGATAGCCAAAGAAAATTCACACAAAAGGAAAATCTACACCACTCAGTATTCGGCTATTTTCATCGATATCATAGTTCCTTTCAAAATTCAGAGCATCAGGCACACCACTTGGCTCTTGTCACTACTATAAACAAAGATGTAAGAAAACAAAATATAATAAATACTAATTATCTCCTTGGACTACCAATAGCGAGAAGTAAATCTATTGATCATCTACAATAAAAGCCTAGTTATCCAGCGCCGTCAGAGTGCCCACTGCACCTGCATGCACTAGGAGACAACCTCTACAAGTATTTGATACCCCGAGAGTATGATTGTTTCTGTCGTGGGAAAACCACGGTTGATATTGGACCTATTAGCTACCAAATGCTTTTGAACATCTTAACCAAGCATCCTCAGGAATGCATTAGCATGTTCACTTCTGACGGATTCAAATGAACTTGGATTATAACAGTAATTTTTTTAACGATGCTGGACAGTGAAAAAGAAGTATCAGATAGTTGGTCCTCTATTGGTATAGCACCAAAGCTATTGGTGATACAAATCGAGATTCCACGATTTTCGCTACCTCCACTTTGTTGCAGATCTAGGCTCTCCTCCAAAAGACTTTCTTCTCTGAAGTGAGTGAGCACTGGAGTCAACAGGACTAAGAACCTCACCAGATTTTTCTTTGAAGAGTGCTCCCGGAAGACTAGTTCGTACCTGAGGATAGAATTTTAAGCAGAGTGTCAATGTCTGTCCACGTCCTAAGTTTTCATCTCATCTGGAGTACTGCAACACTAATGCCTTAGTAACCATTACAATAGCAACTTGTAACATTAAACATGTTTAAACATGTAACAATAAATTATTGATAGTTTATTCTGACTTGCCTCCTAAGTTACATTGTCTTATTCGTCCGAAGCCATATTACTTCTCACTTCAAACAGCATCTATGATAAAAACATCCACTTCAAAAGCATTAGGACAATATGAAACCTGAGAGATAGACTTAGATCGAGCTGCAGCAGTCAGATTCGGAGCCTTGGGTCTTGCAACTGGGGGGCTACCAAAAGAGAGTCGCTTCTGCAGTTTGGCAGGTGACTCTTCTCCCTCCACCCTAGTCTTGGGACTACTGCGTAATTTGGCTTTCGCAGAAACGGTGGGAGCCATGTACCGGTTCCTAGTTGACTTCTGACTTGTGGGAACACTGTTCTCTCCATTGTCTCCTTTCTCGGTGTTCGGTATATTGGTCAAATCAACGCCCGTCTTCAAACGGTCTGCACAAGGCATCAATTGGAATCCATTAAAATATGGACCCTACACGAAAGTATTTGTAAGGGTGGCTATTATAAAAATGACAAGAGAGATCGTGATACTTGAAACCCAGGTATATTTGTCTGGGCTAGTTTAATGCTTGCTAGTTCACAAACAGAAGCGAAAGATGTAATGATTTTGAATAAGCGGCACCTGCGGCCTTGTGACAGACATATTTACTTTCCTGGTGTGGATAGATAGCAAGGATGAACTAAAATATCAGCACTAATTTGACATCGGATTTCAACTAACTATCTAATGTCCTTGATCATATCCATACCAAAAACTTCCAAGTAAGACTGTTGAAACAGATCCAATAGCAACGTCCAGCAAAGCATTGGGTTCAAAATCGATGAATACCTAAGTTTGGCGAATCCTGAGGGTGGGCTTTCGTTAACGATTCTTCGTCATTTCCATGCTCAGATCCACAAGAACCACTGCAGCTGGGATCATGCTCCAGGGTCTCCTCAATTGACGTCGCGGTAGGACAGTCATTAAAGGATGGATGATCGGAAGTAAGTTGATGATGGAAAGAGGAACCGTCTGTTGGCGAGAGAGGACCAGCGTCGCTCTCATGACCTGCAGTTTCCAGGATCTCTTCGGAAGGCAAAGGGGGCGGACAGGTTGACTTAGGCATAGAAGGAAGTGCTGGCCTTTCAGGTGATAGAGCCTTTCTTTGAACGTCGGGCTTGGATAGCAAGGGCTCAGCAGGGGGAGGTGGAGATGGAAGAGGCAACGGAATATTTCCACTTACTCCATTTGTGCGACGACCTTTCTTAGGCTTGTCTTCTGATTTTTCCACTAGTGAAGTCACTTGGGGTGGAGGCCGAGCAGTCTTCGAACTGACGCCGTCCACTATTATATTCTTTGTCTTGGCCTCCAACAATTTGAGAGAGGGAATGCTTTGATGGCTCTCTTTTGTATGTTCAATATGACGATTTTCCCAAGGGCGGGCGGCCATCCATCGATCCATCCAGCTCCAACCCCAATGTGATTGATCTGGCTCGCTGTCTATAAATAGCATGTTACGCTTCGGAGCACTTCGTTTAAGCTGAAAAAGAGAATTCAAAACTCAGACATGTCAGAAGATGCTACAAGAATTCCAACAGAAAGTGAAAATAAAGCGCTACAATCTTACGTATGAAGGATTTCAGTTCAGAGCTTCGTTCGACCGCTCAGTATGTACCTGCTGTGAGAATGCATATGCCATTGCCCTTTCTCGCTTCTTGGCTGCCTTTTCCCGAATTTGCAATTTTTCTTTCGTATCCTTACCTGTGGTCCAGGTCCCCTCCTAAGCAAAAGAGGGCATAACGGCATTTTAAAACGAAGATTCAGGGTGATGCTGACACTAGGTTGATCAAAAATAATTTATTTTGAAATGCGTTATCAACATTGCTGCAGATAATCTATGGAAGAGTACTAGAAAAGTAAAAGTTTCCTTTTCACGTTTTCGTGAATTTATTTTCAGATGAGAAGGGGGGGGGGATCGATCAATCGGAATTTGACTTATCACAACGTTGGAATTAAATTTCAGCAGGTAGCAGTGCATCATACTGTGAGTTTGGGTCGAGCCAAGCCTTGACGCCGTTGAAGAATTTGTTGCTGTACAGCCTGTCCTTCCTCTGACATCCTCACTCGACGAGCACGAACACGGGCTTGCACACGAACAAGAGCCTCCATCGCCTTTAATGTTGTTGCAGCTTGCCTTCGCACAGTATGTCCTCGCACTAAGGCTTGGAGACGAACTAGTCCTCTCAAAGCCTTCAAAGAACCCAGTGAGCATTGATAGAAAATCAGCTGGTCTACAACTTTTAAAACATGTTTCGATGGCTAGCTACAGTACACAGGTCTGCATAGTCGAGAGACAGCTCCCTTCTGTTGCTCAGAAATGTAAGAAGCGTTTAACAAAATATAAAAAAAGCAAGTAATCCATATTCACATCTGTGTAGGAATGCATTCACTTCAGCAGGGCATCATGAAGGAAACCCCTCTATTATCGTAGTCTCGAACATGCGGAATCTTACCAAGTGGTTACGGAAAGCCCGTTGTATCTGGACAGCTGCCTGCTCCTCACGAAGCACTTCATCCTCTTTACTGGCCTCATTAGATGGTGAGGCCTTCAATTTCGTTTGCTCTGTGTATTCACTGCGCTCTGGTTCAGCAACAACCTCTTCAGTCGACAATCCATTATTGCGTTCTTGCTCAATTTCCTGATGCATTAATCTCGCAACAGATGGTAATGGGAGAGGAGTCGCCTTCGAATAGTCCAATGAAGTTCCTCGAGTGACCTTGAAGGATTTCTTTTGCTATTCAAAACCATTACGTCAGAAAGTATATGTCAGCATCCGCAAATCCACAATTCCACACAAGGAGAAATCAAGATTGCTATCCGCCTTCAGCACTTATCAATGACGTGTCCGACCATTCCTCAAATTTCAAAATTCGATGACAAAAATGAACTAAAAAGTAAGACATTCAGCACAGCTTCTGCCGACAAAGTTACCGTTTCATCTTTGTCAGAGATACTTTCCTTCGATGGAGACCTGAAGGCCTTCTTGACCGCCTTCAACCACTTGCTTGGATTGGCCTTGCCCATGGATCGGATGCTTGCCGCTAAACTCTAGCTCTCGTGGAAGCACCTGCAGACAATGACATTTGGACAAATAATGAGTCTCTATGCTGGTGATGACTCGAGAAGAATAGCATTGCTGCAGCGACCAGCATGACATGAGCTACGAGAAACTTCATCCGACACATGCACCTTCCAGTGAGAGAGTTTAAACGCTTATTTCTGAACTCTCGAAAGCATCGACACGGAGTGCGAAGGGCTTTCCTCCGTTCATAAGGATGATCTAGCTTAGGCATCGCAGTAGAAGGAATATCTACAGAACGATAAAATAAAATAAAAAAAAGGATTGTAGTAGCTGACTCTAATACCCGCTCATTTATCAGGCATTGAAATGCCAGCACGAAATACATCATCAGGTGAAAAAGCCATCTCAAAGTGCCTTAGAGCATACGAGCCTCTAATCAATACTACGTTCAACAAGTCGAAAACAAGTCGTTCTCGCGACTTGAAGCTCCTTGGCTACCACCTCAAAATCCAACCCGCCCACCACACTTTTTCAAGTCCAACTCTAAACCAACGACTAACCCAGCTCCGTCCTCTTCCACTTGCCGTCCACAGCTGTCCACTCAACTCACCATCAACAGCTGGCCCTGAGAATATCTACCGCTTCCACATGCAGTGCGCCTGATGGTCACCGTCCCACACTACCATTAAACCGCCGCACCCCCACGCTAACCAGCAAACAAAACAAAACAAAACAAAACAAAAACACAACACAACACAACACAACACAACATATCATTATCAACAATTCCTGCCTCGCCATAACTCTCCAAACTATACAACCCCCACGCAGAACAAAGAGAATGCTGACACAAGAGCCACCGGTCAACGACCACAGACGATACAGGCATCAGAAAAAAGCGCAAAGGGGTGCAACCACGGCATGGTGGACACGAAAGAGCAGTTTGCCAGAGCATCTGAAGACCTTTCAGTGACCGAAGACGGGCGGCATTGACGGTCGCACAACTCGCAGCACTATCACGCCGAGCTCACAGAGCGTGCAACCACCCCCAAAAAGCCACCAAATTTAGTCGCGGAAGCGGGCGCTGCGAAGCTGAAGGATCAACCTGTCAATGCTCCAACTCCTGCTGCATCGCCGCAAGCGTCTTTTCACCCCGAACCATACTCCACCGGAATCCTGCGAAACGCTGAAAGCGTACTCTTGTCCATGAGCTTTCTCAAAACAAGTCCCCCACCCCCACACCAAGCTCCAGTGACCACGAGAGCATGCAACAACAGGCTTCAGCTACCCACCACTCTGCTACCGACCGCTCTATCTACCCACCTAGCCCCGTACCACGCCAGCCTACTACACACTTGCCGACCGACCCCGGTGGATCCCACGAAGTTTCCTACCTCCATCTTCATTTTTGAAATCCCAATTATTGGATTTACAAGGGGCAGAATAGTGTGCACTGTGGTTCCAAATTGCAGAATCAAATGGGGCAAAACAGCAGTGGCACATTTCCATTGGTACATATTAACGGATATTTATTCTTTTAGGGTGCCGCTAGCCAAGCTATTGGGGGAAAATATATAGCAGTTACAACCATCTATATCTACATTGTGCTTTTTCGTTTTTTTAAATGATTCTCATGGTTCCCTACATCACCCCTTATGACTTGATTTGAAAGTGCAGGAAACTTGGTGACTACAAAAGGAGAGTAGTCCACATCATTGACAACAAATCTGGTGTCCCAAGCCCAAAACTCCAGTGAACACTTAGTAGGCATGGAAACAACAAAAGACAATGGAAATAATGTGCATGGGGCCATGAAGAAGAAGTCGACCCCACCATCACCACCACCACCACCACCATACTCCTCTTGTAGTGGCCACCAATGATTCCTATCCACTCCTCTAAAAATATTAATACTATTAGTGATCACAACACCCACACCCTCTCCTATTCAACATCATTCCAAAGGCTGGGGCATTCAATGATTCAATCCAGTGGGGTTTGACGAGTGGGGACAAAGCATTGGATAAGCTGAACACACATCAAAACTGAATGAATTGTGTGCATAAAAACTATGAAATAATAATAATAATGATAATAATAGGTGTAGTTGTAGGTCCAGGCATAATAAGCCTACTTGTGAAGGGGTCCTTGTGTAGAATTGTGGGTCACCACCAATGAAACCCTTCCCCTCTGCCCCCAAACCCACCAACGGTTCACACCCAATTGGGATTTTTTTTAGCCTTGTGTGGGAATTGTATTCATATGCCTTGCAAAGAGTTTCTCATTGAGTGATTGAAAGAACTACACATGTATGGACATGTTTTGAATAATGGGATTTGAAAAATGGGTTGTACTAAGTTTCTCACAAGCTTGCCTTTGGGGCATGAGCTTGCAAAAAAAATCTTTATTTGTTTGTTTCATATTTTGTGATTACGAAATTGTAATCCTTTGCATGTGGAGAGCCTCCAGATCAACTTTTTGTTGGCTAGAAGTTTCTTCTGAATAATGAAAGAGGTATCATTTATAAATTACTTAACGCTAAACCAAATTTTAATTTTGAAAGAAAATAGAATAAAAAAATGCTTGCAAATCTATCCACTGCATCCTGCAAAAATAAGAGTTGTTGTGGGATAATGGACTTAGGATGGAGAATACTGTGGGAGAGTATGGAGCAACAATCAACAGGTTTTATTCTTTAATTTTTAACAGAAGAGTTGCTTTAATGAGAATACTTTGGAATAATAGTGTTGTTGAATTTTGGAACTCTTGCATTAACTCAAATATTTTTCTTTTTGGTGGTTGCATGGTAGAATGAAGAGTATGTTTGATATATGAAAAGTGAAAAGGGTGAAAAGTTAATAGAAGGAGCTCTTACGAGTGTTGTCTTATTAGTTTATTTATTATTAATTTATTCTGTCTTTCTCGAAATAGTTTGCAAATTAAAACTGAACTAGTCAACTCAAAAACTGCACCCACCTCAATATTCAAATAATACCTGTCATGCAGTTTAAGGCCACAATACATAAGGTGGGGCCTACGTGGCATGTCTGGCTAACTAACATAAATTTGCTATTTATTGTTAACAACTTCAAGTGCTTGTCTCACGATGCAAATACATGGTGACAATTATCATTTTAAAAAATAAGAATGCTTGACTTCTGCATTGATCACGAAAAGAATGAATCATAAAATATTTTAAATAATAAAAATTTCCAAATATACACGTTAATTAACATGTAAACATTTTTATAACAAAATTTAACATTTTAAGATAGAGTTTTTTTCTTTTCTTTTTTTGTGAATGGAAAATTTAAAAAGCTCATGGTTATATCATGTCTCGAATTGAATAAGCATACTGTATTGGTTTGAATTTGATTACAACATGATTTGATTTCATCAAACATTTTGGTAAAACTTTCACTCACCTGGAAAATAATTGAGCTGATAAATGTACCAAATGTTCATTTAAAGTAATTATGTTTACAATAAGAAGATTGAAAAGGAAATTTACCCCTTTTTAATTCAAAGTATTACACATAGTTTGGTTTATACATATATATATACAAATAATTCCTCTCATTGGTTGTTGTTCGAGCACTTTTTTCTGATTTATATAGAATAAGGTTCTATAATTTTGTTTTTGTACCTAAAACATACAAATTCAAAATGCGTAATTTTAATGTTTTAGAATGATGAAAGAGTTTTTTTTAAAAAAAAAAATAGAATTTACTGCCTATAGAATAATAGATTTTGATATTTTTTCAACTTTATATGTTTGTATGGAAAATCATCCATAATACAAGCTCTTTCAAAATGAAACCGCTTTGATTTGTCAAGTGCTTACAATCATACAAGACAATCACAAGATGAATCACTTGATACTACTTTAGGTTTTCTTGGGGTTTTTTTTGTAATACTTTACTTCCAAATGTGACCACTTTGGAGTTACTTTCCTATTTTATCCTTTCCCTCACCAAAATTTGTGAATGAAGTATCAAATCTGAATACATGTATTGTTAATTTTCATCAATGGCACAAACATACTGGATACAAAAAAAATAAAGTACCACTAATACATATATATATATATATATATATATATATATACACATATATTTATAATCAAACTTACTTAGTTGTAATGTACATGCTCTGAATCAATTTTTGAAAATAAGTAGATATATGATCATAAAACTTGTTACAGGAGTAATTGTAATATTCTTACACACATTAGTATCTCATGAAACATTTTTTATTATTATTATTTTCAAACCCTTGTAAAACCATTTTACAATCTTCAAATTCTACATTCTAATTGATATTTACAAGTATGCATTTGGTTATTGTAAGCACACTTATGATCATACTAAACCAATACATATTGTCATTGTCATTGTCATCATCATTCTTGTTGAACATATTGTTCACCCATCTCCTCTTCGCTTTTTCTAAGAAGAGAACAAAGTCCACATCATGCCACCAGTGATTCTCATCATGGTGAGAAGCTTGTTGTGTCCAATGAATTTTACAATTGTTTATTTTGTTTTGTTTTGATTTTAATTAATTAATATTACTATTTTGTCAGAGTTAGACTTATCATGAGCAGAGGCACAGTATGTCTTCCACATTTCTGACCAAATGGGTACCAAGACTGTGGCAGTGTCAAGGCTCTGATCACACTCTGCACCCAACTCTGTTACTAAAAACAAAATTTAGTAGGGATTTTGTGTACAAAACTACCATGATTTCAAAACAGTCATCTATTTGTGGGTTTCATTTGCTATATATATATATATATATATACATTTATTTATTTTCCATTTCTTTATTTTTTGATATAGATAATGACTTTTTTATTTTTTTATTTTTTTTACTATTGTTTTAGTTTGATATCATTAAAATTTTGAACTAAAAAAAATTAAAATCAAGGTTTTTTATAACAACTATGTTTGCTCAGATCATGTGTTGTCAAATAATGTAAAATCTTTGTTGCTGTTTCAACATTTTAAATCTTATTTTACTATTGTAAACACCATTCGATTATATATATATATATATATATATTATATAATTTTTAGATTAAATACTAACCAATAGAATTATTTGGTTTACATGTTACCACTTAAGATTTTTAACTCCAAAATTCATTTGTATGATTATTTTTTGTTAAATGTACTATTTATTCTAAATCTTGAGCATTAAATGTGTATCCTTTGACCTCAAATTTTTTTTGCATTCCTACCATTTAATACAATGTTGATTATTGTTTTCTTTGGCTTATTTATTTATTTATTTTTATATTCTTTTAGTTTTAAAAAATAAAAAATAAAAACTTACTTCTGATTTTAAAGGAATTTTTATTTTATTTTATTTTTTAAAAATCAATTATGTCAACAAATTGTCAAACTAGTGGAGACCTTTAATATAGTGTATAAGTGGCTGTCTTTCTTCTTTTGCAAAGGTCATATTCAAAATATTGCAATTATCTATGCTTTGGTTTAATTTTGATAAGTTAGTTTATATATATATATATATATATATATATATATAGATATATAAAACTTTAATTGTCATTTTTCCAATTAAAAAAATAAAAATTAGTTTATAATAAAAGTTAACATAACTTTAAAATAAAATAAAATAATTTTTCGAAACTAGATAATAATAAATAAAGATTAACATATACAAGCAATTCTTGTACAAGGAACGAAGTGGATTACAAGTGCATTGGCAACATTGCCAAGTACATTAAATGTTCTATACCAAACAAACTATTGCTGGTGTGTCATTGAACAGCACATTTTGATACTTATCAATGATGCATATAATTATTTTAAAACCTCATAAAATCTTGGACCAACTTTTTTTTGTCTTTTCACAGTTGATTACTTGTTTTCTATCAAATCACTAAAAAATCACTAACTTTTAATACATCTATATCAATACTCTTATTTAGTTAATTCTTTCTTTCTTTCTTTCTTTTCAACACTCTCTTTGTCATCTGCTGCCTCCTAGTGTTAACACCCTAGAATGGATCACGGTTATAGGATAAGTTCAATACATGAGAACGGTTATAGGACACCGTCCGCATTGGAGCACGGTGCGCGTCACCACCGAGGCCCACGGGTGAGGCCCCTCCAATGAGACCCGGCCCGCGGGGGACTGGACTGCCCGCGATTATGTACACCGCCAGTACCGAGAGCTGGCGTAGAATTTTGAACGTCTAGAGTGCGATCGACGGCAAATCGCTGAT